CTTGCACTCGGTGTGCCACTGCATGCCTATAATATGAACAATCAAGAAGTTGAGGCAGGAGGATTGTGAGCCTGAAGCCATCTGAGTTACATAGCAAGTCCCCTTTAAAAAAACCACAAAAATAACAATAACCAACTAAAAGATAAAACAATCAAAGCAAACAAATTAAATTGGCATTCCTTGGTGAATATATATGCCAATTACATATTTGGAATGGAGTTTTAAACAAAATATGTTTAAAATTTGTAAATTTTTCCTTTTGTCCTAGTGGATGAAATAGTTGATTAGACTTTAATCTAATCTTAATCACATCTTAATCTTAGTGTTTACTGTAAGGATTCATTTTTCTTTCTTTTGTAAAAGTAGAAACTCACAAAATATGATTTTCTTATTTCATATTTATATCAATATACATGTGAATTTCTTCTATGCATTACTAAGAACACAAAGAAGTCACACTACTCTGAAACTTTATTTATTAGTAATTTGTGTCCATATATCTCAAAGAATATTAAAGTTTTATAGGTTCTGTTGTTTCTGTTTTTGAGACAGAGTCTAATTTTGTATCTCAAGTTGGCCTCAAATTCATAATCCTTTTGCTTCAATCTCCTGAATCTTGTGATTGAAAGTTTAGTCACTATTCCTAGTGAGGTTTTACAGACATTATCTGTCTGATCATGACAATATTCCCTTCCCTTTCCACATGTCATGCCTGATGTGTGAGTAAGCGTACCACTGGGTGTCTGTATATGTGTGACTGAATGTGTGAATGAGTAAGTGTGTGTTACTGTGTAAATGTGAGTGTGTGAGTGAGTGTGCGTGAGAGAGTAAATGTGAGTATGTGTATGTGAATGAGTGAGTGTGTAATTGTGTGGCTGACTTTGTGATTTTGTGAGTGAGTGAGTGAGTTGTGTGAGTGTTTGATGAGTATGTAAGTGTGTGAGTGAGTAAACATGAGTATGTGAACGAGTAAGTGCATGAATGTGTGTGTGTGTGTGTTAATGAGTATGTGAGTGTTAGGATGCAGCTACAAAAATGTGTTGTTAAAGATGGCAACTCCTTAGAGTTAATGGATAGCCATGAACAAAACATGGACAGGTAATTTGCAGTATGAAGGTTTGTTATGTGTGTGTTTGTGTGTGTGTGTGTGTGTGTATCCATATTTTGGTCTAAGCTCCCAGTCTTTCCTTTATTTTTCACCTAATAATTAGTAATCTGACTTTAGAGATTGACTGGAAGTTAGATAATGTAATGTTAAGCCTCTTGGCACAAAACAAGCAGTCACAAGTATTTGTCATTTCCCATGCCACCACTAGCTCATTATTTGACTTTAAGCCAGCCCAGAAGCTAGTGTGCATCTCAGCATCTTTTATTTATTAGGAGACAACATAATTATGATTTTAACAAGAATATAGCTAATGGCAGATAGATTTTTTTCATTTCATAAGCATCTTCAGTTGTCTCATTCTCATGATTTTACCTTAGTTTTTTCCAGTAAATTATATTTCTTTGACACATTGTAACAAAGGAAAGGACAATTGATGTAAAATTCTTTGAAACGTTACACAGTTTCAGAGAGGACATTGCTCTGATTGTTCTGATATCTTCCAGGTATTAATATGGGTTTCTGAAGATGATAATAAAATACATGAGTATAATCTGTGATCGAGGACCTGAAATAGGTTAGACTTGAAAATCTCTGCTTCACTAAGAGGCTTTTTTGTTACTCTTCATGCAGATAAAAATATGTTATGCATTTATAAGCCACTTCCTTAAGAATGACTTGTGTATGAGAAAATATGTGCATAGATTTCTTTTTGACTCAATTGAAATGAAATGCTTATCTGGAATCTACGGCTGTCAGGCATTTAAATTCCTAGTAGTAGAGACTTCTTTTTCTCCTCATTTATCTAAAACACACAACCCAAATTTCTAGTTTATTAGAAAATTTCACAGTTTATAAGCATAAGCATTCTAGCTTGACCTCCCAAGAGATACTCCTCTTTCAGAATACAAAGCCACGAGTGATCCTGTAGCACTAGGGAGAGCTGTTTTCTGCACCTGCTGAAAGCTCCCTCTCTGTTTGTTGAGTAGACTTCACTGTTGGTGGCATGGTTGACCCTTTCTGAGGCATGGTAAAGGGTGAGTCTTTCCGAGACTATAGCAGGGTCTTTGATCTGTTATATTGGCAAAGGAAAATGTTAAAGAATAGAACCGACTATTAGTGACAGCTGGAAAGGCACAGGCAATTGAATTTTAAATAGCTCCAGCCATTTTCCAATGTTAAAAAGAGGATAGAGGTAGTGGGTATCTATCTGTATGGTACAACACTGTCTAAGGCTGTCCAAGGAACTCTGGGAACCCAGAGGCAGATTTGGGTTCACAGAAGGGTTAGTATGGAAGAGCTATGAGGGAAGGAGAGTGAGAATCTGGAACACTGAGAAGAATGTCAAGCAGATGTTGAGTAGCAAATACTTAAACCTCTGCTACACAGCAGAGGCAAGCCAGCACATGAATGAAGAACATAGCCCAGAGAGATTATTTGGACTATCATCCTGTTTCTATCTCTTGGCAAGACATTGAATTTTTTGCATCTTATATTCTACTCATTTTGTCTGGTCTTTCTAAAATGTAGTATATAAAGAGACTATGTGAGTGTCTGGGACATAATAAATACAGCAATAGTAAATAAAGAATTATAGCTATTATCATTATTATGAATACTACCAGGAAAGTAAACCACTTTCACTTATGAGTAGGACTTCAAGTCCAATGTAACCTATCATCATTCAAAAAAGTCCAGTGAGAACACAAGCCTGTTGTTGATTGGAAACACCACATTGTGATAAACATTCTTTATACAGCTTTTCTTGTGCCCTAACTAGCATTGATTGGTGTTATTTAAATAGCAGTTGGTTCAGGATTCCAGGATGAAGGATTTACCTTTAATGAAATATATGTATCATATTAAGCATGAAATCCAGTGACCCTGGCTGGACTGTTCTCACTGGAAGCTTCTACTGCACACTGAGCACAGAATAAAGATGTAGATTGGAGCAAATTTATTTCAGATATTATAGATCAGAGGCATAGCTATGTATGGAGGCAGAGCATGAAATATGCAACCTCAATTCTCCCCTTGAACCCACAGTAATTTATCTGGGAAACATTGTTGAGTTCCTTGGACTGTGAGGTAAGTAACTTGCTCCAAAGCAGCTTTAAATCTTCTTCAGGGAACAAGCTGTTCCTATGCATTGTGCTCTTAGTGCTGCGCTCCTTGGCTTGGAACTGTGAACATTACCCAGAATGCTTCAGTGAGACCAGGATTGAAGTACAGTGTGCCAAGAGGAAATTCTCTAGGGGGTTGGGAGGGGGATTCTTTAGAGATAAGGGAGGGAATTAAAGGTTAGCTAGAAGGCTTTAAGAAAAACTAGCTTGCCCCAGATGTGGGAGAACCACCGACTTATAAAAACAGCATTTTAACTGGTATTTTTTATTGATGCTTGTATAACTGGTAGCATCTGCTGCATCATGAATACTGTCCTAGGCACTGGGAAAATGTCAGTGGTCACAATGAACTTCTTTGCTCACAGATCTGACCCTCTTTTGTCACATATCTGAGAATTCACAGATCAATAATAGATGCTCTCCTTTTATAGAAGATTCTGAATAAAAGGGAGAAGGGAAGATGCTAATAAGACATGGTATAGTTAAATGTGTGTGTATCACCTGATTTCTGATTTCTGAAGGTTGGGAAGGGTTTCCTGGGGAGAGTGACTTTCATATTGAGTTCTGAAGAATGAAGAGGAGTTGGAGACTAATAATGGATGTTACTCACAGTGTGATATGAGTGTATTTCAGTTGTAATACAGAAAGTAATGGGAATGCAGAAAATAAACTGGCAGCAAAGGCCACAGTAGAAAGCCTGTTTCTAATCTAAACACTGAAGTGGTTGATGGTCTCAGTTATGTCAGCAACCAGGGATCTGGAAAGATGGGAGGATTCGAGAGCTGGTAAAACTGTGACTGCCTGGTAGTGGATGCTGAAGGAGAGGCTAATAAGAGATGGCTTTCAGATTTCCAGTATGTGAAACTTCATGGGGGTTGTCATTCACTAAGAGGTGAAGCTGGAAGATCAAATTCAGGATGGGGAATTATGAATAGCTGAGTTTTGAGCATAATGTGTTTGTAGTATTACATTATCTGCAGGAAGATGCTCAGTGGGCAATGGAATGAGGAGCCTGGAGATCAGAAGAAAGCTAGGGACAGAAGCTATTTGCCTTCAGGTAGACAGATCATAGGGCAGGATCCTGAAAATTCTGGTATTGGCTTGCACAGAGGGAGAAGAATGAACAGGGAAAGGCAAGAAGCTGGAGGCAGGGATGGCCAGGGCATGTGGACAAGAAAGGAATGAGGGAAGGAGAAGATGGTCTAAGAAGGAAAAGTTTGGTGTCCAATACTAATGAATATCCCCTAAACTGGAAACTGAGAATTGTCTTTTGGATGTAGCAACATGAATGTCTTTCAGTACTGTGTGGATTGCTTCGTACCCTTCCAGTTTGTTTGTTTCAGATTCTTCATTGTTAGTGTCTATCTTAGCCAGGGTTACTATTGCTGTGATGAAACACAAAGGACTAAAGAACTCGGTGAAGAAAGTGTTTATTTGCCTTACATACCCCGATCACAGGCCATTGAGGGAAACCAAGGCAGGAACTCAAAGAATGCATGAACTCAATGAAGGCATGGACCTGGAGGCAGGAGCTGATGTATAGGTCATGTTTACTGGCTGGATGTAGAGGAAGGGTGATGTTTACTGGCTTTCTCCTCATGTTTTGCTCACCCTGCTTTCTTATAGCACCAAGGACAATCAGCCTAGGTGTGGGCCTAGCCACAATGGGCTAGGCCCTCCTGCATCAATTACTAACAAAGAAAATGCTGTACAGACTTGCCTATAGCTTGATCTTATGGAAAAAATTTCTCAGTTGATGTTCCTGCTCTCAGATGACTCTAGCTTGTGTCATTAGTGCGTATGTGTCTATAACAATGATACTTCCATCTTTGGTTTCTTGGTGAGAAGATGTTGCTCAGAATGTCTAAGATCATGGTGAGTGCAGGGATGAATTGGAGGAAGGAAGCACACAAAGAAAGTTTCAGAGAATACAAGTGATTTTCTTTTCTTTCTTTTTTTTTGATTTTCTTTTTTTTGTTTGTCATTTATATGGAGAAATAAGATGATAATCAAAACTCTATTATTTTCCTATGTAAAACAGTATCTCAGGACAATAGAAAATGGACGGATTTAGAAGCCCATATGGGTGAGGTAGAGAGCAGATTGGGAGGCTTGGGTGCCTGTGGTTTCTTAGCAGGAGTGGAAGAAGTTAAAACAACAAACCCCATATGAGCCTGCAAACCTTTCTCACGGCTTGGAATGTCCTTCTTGAAGGTCAAGCTTCCAGCCCTGAACTTGTCTGGCACAACCCAGCCTGTTGGCAATATTCTTTCCATTAATTAGGCACCTTAGGGTTAGGTTAGGATGACCTTTTGTATTCTCAAGCTGCGAAGGGCTGGCTTTAAAGATGTGAGGAACAGATTTATGTCTGAGATACTAGTGTGAGAAATGAGACTAATGGGAAATAGTCAGTTGTATAGCAACCATGCTATTTCTGCTGTATCTAGGCCTGTGAACGGCCTCGTACGCATGCTTCAGCATAACCAACAACACAACCACTCATTACTGAAATATCACTCTATTGCTAGTCTGACCACAGACCATTATATTAAGGAGTCACTCACTGTAACTAAAAACTTTGTGAATGTATTTCAAATATTTGTATATTAACCATTCAAGTTGTTAATAATAAGGCCAAGCGTCCTATCTTAAGGATTATATGTGGTTAGTTAAAAGGTATATACTCATCTAAAGAGAAATAAACTCTTTTCTATCTAGGTTTTAATTATTTGCCTGGATATTCTCTGCTTCATCTCTCTCTTGTTTCTTTTATGCTTTTCAGTAAGCAATGGCTTCAGTTTTCCTTCTCTTTTGGATGGCCACCACTACATAGGGCCTGAATGTCCTGCTGTTTTCCAAGGATAGAAAGAAGACTCTGTACCTGTCTGTTTTGGGACCAGTCTTGTAGGAGAGGCGTCGAATGGGCCACGGATTCAGCGCACTTTCATGTGAATGGGACCAGTTTCTGTTCTTCCCAAACATCAGAGCTTAAGCGCTTGGGAAGGAGATTTGGCCAAGATGACACATTTACAGGCTGGGCTCAGTCCAGACACTATAGAGAAAGCTCGCCTGGAACTGAATGAAAACCCAGATGTTTTACATCAGGATATTCAACAGGTCAGAGACATGATCATCACCAGGCCAGACATTGGGTTTTTACGTACAGATGATGCCTTCATCCTGCGATTTCTCCGAGCCAGGAAGTTTCACCAAGCGGATGCCTTCAGACTCCTGGCCCAGTACTTTCAGTACCGCCAGCTAAATCTGGACATGTTTAAAAACTTTAAGGCAGATGATCCCGGGATTAAGAGGGCTTTGATTGATGGATTCCCCGGAGTGCTGGAAAATCGTGACCACTACGGCAGGAAGATTCTCCTGCTGTTTGCTGCCAATTGGGATCAGAGTAGGTAAATGTAGATAGTGTCTTTACTTGGCTTTGCTTTGACATAGCATCATCACTGCATGCTGGGGTTGTATCGCTTTGTAGGTCAAAATTCATTCCACATGCCCTCAAAGAGGTTTTAAGACCCAGGTATAATGTCACTCAAAAATAAGACTACAAGAGAATCACAGCCTCTGAGTTGTACTGGACTTTAGAAGTAGGCATTTCACTCATCAAATAGGGTCATTTATTTTAATAAATTCAAAGCTGATGTACTAGAAGGCCCATCTATTCTCTTTGGCATTATCACCATTAGCAAAACTAAAGTACAAAAAACAAAACCACAGTACAAAAAACAAAACAAAACAAAAAACAACAAAAACAAAACAGATTCACTAGATTGGTTTCCACACATAAAATAGTTTTGTGGAATCTCTGTAAATTTAATAGTCTCCTCTTCTGTGTGGCAATCTTCCATACGAGTGGGCTCCCTTGTTAAATGTGCTTTCTAGAGCCCCACACTCTACATACCTATGTGTCCTTCTTCATCTTCTACCTGGTCCCTCATGCCGAAACGTGGGATCATATTTGGCATTGGTCTCAATATCTGACTTCTTCTCGAATTCCACCTACCCCTACCTTTCCTCTTAAAAATCATTTACAGTATCTTCACTTCTCTGCCCCTATCGCTTTGACCAAGTTTGGGTTCACATTATTTTATGAAAACAATTATAACAGAAATGTAAGATCACACTGCTTAGCAGATAACCTTTTTTTTTTTCTGGTGTTTACCACATTTTCTACAGGTTATTTGTATGATCTCATCTAACCAAGCAGGACCTTAGAATTATAAAGGTTACTGCCATTTCCCATACTTCACATTTGATGACACCAGAATCTGTGAAGTTATGAACCTGGATTCACTGTCACACAGCTAGTGAAGCCAGAACGGAAATTGTGTCCTGGTTATGTGACTTAAGAACCAGTTGTCATAACCCAGCTATGTAATGCCACTATGTGTCATGAGATCAGGGAAGATGGTGCCTTCTGCATGTTTATTCCTTTGCCGGGTAGTACAATAACCAGTCAATGCCGACTGGGGAGAAATGGAAGGAACCACTTGCTAGAACATCCACTGTGGCTGGGGTTTCACAACAATATCATGGATGAAAATTTTATGCTCGTGGGATGACACATGCTTAACGGAAAAATACATCAAAAACCTTCCCAATGCTATTTAAAGGAACTACTGGTCTGTCTCTCCATTGCCTCGTGCTACTGCTTTCCCTAAGAACAGCAGAAGTGCAGGGGGGTTTCACAATCATTGGCTACTTCCTGTTTGATAAATCAAGGCAGAGCCTTCTGGCTCTGGAAAAGTGCACAAACGTCTCCACATGATCAGCCTAAACTTTAGTCAGATCTTCACCTGAATCAATAATAGTGATATGGAATAGATATCATGTTTATCAAGTTCACATTGTAGTTCATGGTGAGCCTTGCTTTACATTGCTCCACGGATGAGAAAGATGGATGGATTTTTATATTAATTCACCCATCTTTTAATCAACACGCATGTAGAGGTCTGAGTTTGAGGCACTTGAGACCATGATGAGACCATGCGGTCTTTGTCAGTGAAGACCCACGTGCAGGTCATGATCCAATAAAAGGCACAGTATATATATGGCTAGATGCTACCCTCTACTCAATAATTACTCCTGAGACATAGGAGCCATAGACATGACATCTAAACAGAAGGGAACAGTCTTACTCCAAAGGATGGTACACTCACATTTTGGCTCTAGACACCAGACATTTTGGATGATTCTGGAGACTAATCATGCTGATGTCATTGTGCTAAATTGCCAGTGTTCTGAGGCTTCCATCTGCTAGGACGGACTGTGCACTGAGCACCACTGAGCTTTGCTGCTCATATAAAGACATGAACCATAGTGAGATGTTTTATTTCGTGTTAAGATTTGCTCTGTATATATCCCCAAATATGTCATGAAGAAATAAGAGGTAACCAATCTCTGAGGAAATAATGAAAATGTTTATGATTATGATAACCTTGGACAAGTTACTTCCTTCTCTGTTCCTTGAATTCCTCATGTGTAAAATAAGATTCTAGCTCTAATGACTCATGAGTGAGAAGCCCATTCAGCCTCATCCGATGGATGAGAAGGGATTCTCAGATTCACTTTATAGGCTCCCCATTTGCTCAACTTTTAAAAAATAATCTCTTTTCTCTTCTCTTTCTCATAGTCCCATGACCTAATTTTCTTCTAACTATATAATTTTATCCAAACCATTTTGCTTTTGACAAAGTGGTATTGGTAAGTCTATCCACTTGGCATTAAGTCAGATGCAAAAAAAAAAAAAAAAAACTAGTTTGAACATGAGTATGACCATCCCACTTGTGGTTATATGCAAGTACCCTCCTTCAGATTCGTTCCTCTCCTGTAAGGCACAGGATAAAAGCAATGCCTTTATATGGAGTGGGAGATAGCAGTGTCATGCTGAAGTTCATTGTTTGGCATATGACAAGCATTCAGTAGACACTGGCTTCTGGTATTATCACTACTATTTTAAAAATCTGACTTCAAAAATAATGGCAGACAGATGGCAAATAAATTAGAACTGGATCCAGGAGGACACTATTTCAAAGCAAGAGTGGGATTTTACATGCAAGTAATCCACCCACTTGACTAAAGCACCTGCTTGTTTTCCCCAGATACCTGTCACACAGACCCTGCCCAGATGAGGTCCAAAAGGCCAGGGAAATTCTCACAGGCTTTGTAACGTGATTGCGCCTCTCTGGCGGTGTCAAATGATCAGGCAGTGATTTGAATATCTCACGTGAAAGGTTTACTGAGATTAAGATGATTATTAATATTTATTAAAAAGATGTAGTCTTTCATCCATCTTGACCTGACCCATGTATGAAAGTGACCAGCTGGTAGCAAGTCACAGCAGAGGCATGGCAGTAATTGAGTTACCAGAATTCAAGCTGGTCTTGCCCAGAGCTGGAAGCTCCAAGAGCAGAAATCTGTATAGTTTCTGTGCTTTCTGCAACTACCAGGCTGAGCTGAATGAGTTAAATACAAAAGAACCATACAATCATTCAGACAGTGAACATGGCTAGCACTTGTAGAGCTGGCAGAGTCATTATTCTAGTGCACACCTTTGATGTGCATTGGGAGCAAGGCGATGCCCTCACTCAATGATTCCTCTGATCACTCACCTTATCTCATAGCAGCATTAGCAAGACTTCCCAACCTGCTCCTCTAAGATCCCCCCCCACCCAATCCATTTCTTGTCTTTTTTTTTCTGAGATGCAAATCTGGATGTGAGCCTTTGCTGTCAGGACCCTGGTGCTGCAAAGGGAAAGGCAAACAGAAGCACATGCTTATTTATTCCTGGATCTCACTTCAGTCAAAAACAAAAGTTAAGCTTGGGCCCCATTGTTTTACTGTCTGGAGTCCCAAATTCTCAAGTGGAAACTGGATAAGACATCAGGACTCTCAGGCTGCTGCAAAGACAAATCCAATCTTGGAAGAGTCCCGGAGGCAGAAGAGATTGAATGATGAACTCTGAAGTTAGGTGGCCACCTTAAGTTCCTGCAGCCTCCTGAAAGTCCCACACCTTACGATGTAGTAGAAATCCTATCATGCAGGGGTGGTGACCACAGGCTTACACTGCTCGATGTGCAGAAGTACTTATTTCTTAAGAGTAAGCAAACTGAGCAAGTAAAGCACCGGGATCAAAAGGGTACTTTCTAAACACAGAAACCTTTTTATAAAATTATCAACATTTTCCACTTGGAAAACTGTAAAAATGGTAACTGTGATAGACCATGACTCCAAAATTATATTGAGGTGGAAGGCTCTGTTGTTCTTAGATCCATGGTTTAAAGGCCTTTTCTTACTGTTGATCATAGGTTGTAAGAACAACAATCAGGGGACTCCAGACAACCCAAGTCCCATAATACACCATAATCACATCCATAGTACACTGTGCAGACCAGCTGTTCCAGACCCAAGTTTTAGGATGAGGACCACAACAGATGACTGCATTACAAGTCAGAATGTATGGAGATGTAGGGCACATCCTTCTGTCAGTATCATTGTCTCTCACAGCTAAAGGTTCAGAAATCAGCAAGCAAACTCAAAACTAGCCTAAAACATTGTTTCTTCAGGGAAGTCGAGGCACTGTAAGAAACACTTAAATTTGGATAACTCCTAAAGAGTAAAGGAGGCTGGTGAGGGGCTTGATTAATATCTTCTAACATAGGGACAAGAAGAAGGCCAAACATCCAGCAGGCTGTTTCTCCTTACATCATGAGATACAGAACAAAAAAGGTCTATATTGAAGATTAGCAAGTCCCAGGCAAGGTTTAAGACACAGAGCTGGGGCAAAGCTGAGAAAGTAGAGAAAAATTTAAAGAGGGACCAAAACCTCAGTTTTATATTCCAATGAAATGCTTTAGAAACTCGCGCTTAAAGATAAAAATACGTAGCTAATAAAATCAACATTTTTAAACAGCATGTCTGTTTTCTTCTGGTTTGACTTAGTATGGCTCTGCTCTGTCAAGCCAGCTATCTTGAGGAAAGAGCCTTCATTAAATTGTGTACTGTTATTTCAGTTCCAGTCCCTATAACAACAAAACACACACACCGAGATACAGCTGCAAATGCCTTACTTTCCCAAAGCATTTCCCTGAGCATTTTCTCAGTTACTGCTAAGTGCTGTGGGGGAGACGGAACATCACTAACTTACTGATGATGAGGAAAGGGGTTTGGGAGGAGATGGTGCTGTCTTCTTCAGGGAGCAATGTGAGTCACCCATGGAAAAGCTGAGGCTTACAGCTTCCATTCCAAGTTAATTCTAAAGACATCTGGAACCAATTACTCAGCCTTGGCATTATTAGATGTTTCAAAAATACCATTGGAGCTTCTGCAAGGCTCTCTCTCTCTCTCTCTCTCTCTCTCTCTCTCTCTCTCTCTCTCTCCCTCTGTCTCTGTATCT